TGAGTTTATCATTGAAACCAAGGACTTTGTGCCATTTGTTCTTAAACCTAAATGATTATGGACCCAACTTATGCTGTTCAACTCCAAGGTTATGGAAAAGTAATATGAGATTGGGCATTGCATGGTCTTTTGAAATAATTGACACCACTGAGTTTGGAAAATGTATAAATGATGAAATGGTCAATTCTAGAAAAAGAGGGCCTCTTCCTCGAGTTAGACCATGTCCACCTCTTCGCAAAAAGAGGCAGATTGATAAGTTCAAGCCTGTCCATAATACTAATAAATTCTTCTACGGAAGTTCTGGAGAAGCTTTCCCTAGACCTCTGAAATCTTTTTAGGATCATATTAAGATCCCTTCCAATCAACCAATTGTAAATCTCACCTCCTTTTGCACTCCTCCAAATCCCTTCAAAGTTTCTCCCTCTCTCTCTCCTCCCTAGACCCAAAAGCCTCCTAAAGTTTCCACAAACGGGCTACTATTTGAAAAATCAAAGAATAGTTTGGATCTTTTTTCTGTTTAACTATATAATTATGCTTAATTGTAGTTAATAAAGACTTGTCAATTCGATCATCATTGAGCAATCATTCACTCTCTTATTTACGGTTCCTCATGTTTTAAACTTTCTCCATCACAACTAACTTTTGTGTAGAGACTACAAAATAAAAAAGAGATGAAACACCTAAAATTATTTTGAAGTACTAACAACTACTCTGAGACGGGTAATTGGTCTATGTGAACCGATTTGGTAAAACCCAATTCAAAAGTCAAAACAAAGCTTGATATTACAGAGACCATTTAGGGTTTTATGATAATTGGGTTTTTTTTGGGCCAGGGGTAGGTTTTGATATTTTATGTACAGGATTTTTTTAGCTATGATACCAAACCAATGTCAGATTTATGTTTGATTTGTCCACTTGGGGATTTGGAGATAAATCTAGATATCGTACTTAGGGTTTTGGCACTCTAATATTTGATTGATTCACATAATCAAGTATTGAGAAATTTTTGAATGTCATTAAATAATTGGATCTCTCGCAAGACTTGCAATTAGAAAAATATTTATGGTGCTTCTTAAGTGATCCCATAGAATTAAACTAAGAAATTTTGACATTAATAAGGTTGAAAATACTATTAATTATATTATTTAAAAAAAAAAGAAAATACTACTAATTATAAGATAGAAAAATATTACTAATTGTACTAGGAATGCTACTTCTAATAAAAATAAAGAATACTAATATGAAAAATAAAACTAAATACTAATAAAAATAAATCTTAAAACTAGTGAAAATATAATAGACTGCTAAATAGTATAGTAACTTTACTTGAATAAAATAATAACTCTAATCTATTTGGCTACTCTACTCTAGATCAATTTTCCTACTTAGAGATTTGAGGATAAAAAACCTAGATATCACACGTAGAGTTTCTTGGACATCACATATAAGAAATTATAAGCTCTATACTTAAGGTATAATTGTATCATACAACCTGAAATTTGAGAAATTCTTCGAGTATTTTATTGAATAATTTAACTCTCTCAAGAAGTAAAATTGTAAGAATATTTATAAAAGATGAATAACATTTATTAAAATAGAGACTAATACTAATAAAATTAGGAACAGTAGTTCTAATAAGATAGAAAATACTAGTAATACAAATAAGAAAGCTATGTACTGATAAGACTAAGATTCTAGTGTTATTAAACTATAATAATAGATTCCTAAATGATCTCTTAAATAGTATATTAGTTTTGTATCTAATAGAATTGTAATTTTTAACCTATTTAGGTAATCTGTAGCTACTCTATTCTAAATCATTCTTCTTTAGTTGGATAAAACTTGACACGAGTTTGAAGTGACGAATGATGTAAAACCTTGATCTTCAAATTTCGAATGAAAAGTCAACTAACTATGTGTTCAGTTATTCTCTTCAATAGCAAACATAATGGAACATATAGTTTTTTAGGATGTAATGAACATATCGACCAATTTTTGCTTCAACTTCATCTTTGAGTTGAATGTCTAGTGACACACTTATTGGCTTGAGTTCCTTCTTGCATTGAACTTCAGAATTCTCCTTAGGTACTAAAATTGTTGGATTAACCTTGACCATAATGCCTGGGTATGAATCGAACCTCCAGATTTTGTTGAATTTTCTTTTTCTAATTTCTTTCTAATATCAGTCTCAGAATTCACCATGACCATAATGCCTGGGTATGAATCGAACCTCCAGATTTTGTTGAATTTTCTTTTTCTCATTTCTTTCTAATATCAGTCTCAGAATTCACCATGACCGCAGAGGGAATGTGTGGCCTAGAACTTTCATTTCCCCTGCAAACTATCTGATAGGGAGAGTCCTGAAATGCAAAATCTGCTGGTCTTCTTAGATCCACTAAACATATCCCCTCAGCCTGACACCAGAATTTGGTCTTTGCATTCCTTGGGTCTGTACATTTATAGATCTTTCTTTAATCACCTCATTAAAAGCTCTCCCTCTAGCCTTTTTCACATTGCTGAAGTATTTTGGAAAGCTCCTGCTTCTTTGATGATAAGAAGTTTAAATAGACACGCATGTATCAAAGGCTCACTACCAACAAAGATGCTACGAGTCCATTGCCGTAATGGTCCCTTATCTCTTAATGGCTGCCTCATGTGCTATAGTGACAGAGAAACACGCTCTCCATTCCTCCACTTTTAATTAGTATAGAGGTTATGAAAAAAAAAAGTATTCAACATGTTTAGTCGTAACTTGTTGATCCCACCCATAGTAGAGAGTTTCGTATTCTTATACATTCAAGGAGAGTGGGTGAGAACGGAGCCAAATCCCTGTGACCAGGGGTGATTTTCTCAGGGCTATGGAGCTTACGGATTGCACAGAACATTTTGACAACCAGTTTACCTCCTTCAGTGAGTTATAGAAGAGTGACTTTTTTGGCCTCCTTACCATAGGAACATCTTAGACACTGTCATTTGCAATCTCCACCGAATCGGGAGAGCAGTATTTATGGCCCTTAAGTGGCCACATTTACTTTTCTTTTTTGGCTATTATTTTGCTTGTCGGGGTCTCTTTGAGGAGGATGTCTCATTCTTTCTGTATGTATTTCTTCTCTGAGTGAACTTCCTTTTTCTGTAAAAAAAAAGACTGCTTCAGTGTACTTTAACACTTTTTTATGTTATTCATTTTCCATTACGTATAGAGAACCGAAAGAAGAGAGGAATTTATTGATAATGACAGTAATTATGACTTTGTGCTTTTGAGAATGACAAGGCAATATTTCTTGATGAGGGTGATGGATATGCAGGCAAGAATATGTGTTCATATTGAAATTTTATAGGAATTTCTTTTTGTAAGATATTGTACAGGAACTTAGAATTTAACCCATTTCTTATTTCAGTTTACATGTTTCCTGATTGTTCAAATTTGGTATTGCCCAAACATGTGTTTGCTATTTCTATAATTTATGTTAACATTTATGTTGTAGCACAATCAGGCTGTAGTGATGCTTGAAATAGGTGTCAAGAGTGTGTTTCTTGATGTTTTACATATGGAATTTCTCAAACCTGTCTTGCCATGTCAGTCCTTTTTATTGAATGTGGAGGTTTTGTTCTCTAGAAAAATATATTGTATGTTCTGTCCTCCAACATGTTATTGAATGAAGCACATTTGTTTGCTTTTCAGATTGCATCTAAATTTTATGACCTTTTTCTTCAAATGAGCCTGATTGTTTAGTATGCCTAAGAATCTTTAGTTGCAGTAGACAGAGATGCATGATCTTATTTCAGTATAGGGCTATTTTATGCGTTCTTTTGCAGATCTCAAAACTGCATCCTTAAAATGTATATATATTTTGATGCTATTTCATATGAAGATATTTTCATGGATTTTTGTTTTTTTACCACAGGTAGCTCGAAACAATTTGAATAAAGAGCCTTCATTAAGAAGTGTCCTCTCAGATCCCATATCGTGAGTCCCTCTTTATCTTCTTACATTTCTTTCTTTTTCTTATTTCAGCTATTAAATGATTCACTGTTTCAAATCCTGGTTAAAACTAAGCATGTTGCCTGTTTCTGATTGTTTTTATTTCTTTTTCTTAATAGAAAAAGATATTAGAAAGAGAGAAAACAGAGTACGAGGGAGGATAAGCTATTCTTCTACCAAATGAAAGAGTGAAAAAATACAAAATAAGGAAAAGATGGCATACATCATCATAAAAATGTTTCCTTTGCTCAATTTCCTGGGTTCTTCCTTGCAAGCATGCATCAATATATAATGTAAGTGGTTATTCTTTTTCTCCAGAAAAAGGATGTAGCATTGGAGGGCACCAAGGGGTGTCACCCGAGAACAACTGTACAAGGTTACATATTTCTCAAAGATATGAAGTTGATGAGATAGGTTACATATTTCTCTTGAATGGGACAGCCTTTAAACAAAATACAAAGGGTTCTATGACTATGATCTTTGATAGACGAAAGACAAGGCACCATTCTCAAGAATTCTTCTGGGCCTCTCCTTCCAAATAACCTGAAAATGAGGAGGGGGATAAGGGAGATGAGCTTCATTTCTAGGCTTCATTGTTTGGATACCATTCCATGTCTGAATTTCATCTTTAATGGTGCCACCTTTGACCCAACCAAGGTTGAGCAGAGAAAGGATGATGGGAGAAAGGGCAGAATCTCGAACGCTTCTGGTTTCAACTCACTGAAGGAGGTGGCTGGTGGGTCCACACTCAGAGGCAGAGAAAGTAGCGATTAACCAGAATTTTGCCTCTTGTCATAGGTTGTCCAAAGTCAAGATCCTTTCTCATGCTGCCTCCCAAGCAAGAAACTCTATGTGTGGTGTTGGAGGTCAGGGCTTACTTTCCCAAAAGTGTTCAAGTGGGCAGTAATCGATCACATTAATCGATCACTCCCTCCTAGATTCATCACCCTCTTAAGCATCCATAACCAACATATTCTTATCCTGAGGAATGGTAAAAATCTTTGGAAACTGGACCTACAGGCTTCTTTGCCCCAACCAAGTGTCATGCCAAAAGAGAATCTTATATGCTCTCCACACCTCACCCTATAAGGCCTCCTCAACTCTCTCTTCATCCCATCCCCCCTCCAGGACCCCCATCTAGCCTTTATCACCCTCCTCCAAAGGTAACTCTCATCCGCGAAAAATAAGTGTGAAATCTCGATCTGAGTACCCTCCCTCCCTACCTGAATACCTTTCACCAAGCCCACCTCCTTAGCCTTCTCAATCAGCTTATGTTGAGCCTCCATAACAAAAATAAACAGCAAAGGGGACAAGGGGTCATCACCTTTTCTCAAACCCCTAGTAGACTTGAAAAAAGACGAAGATCCCCCATTAACCATCACAGCAAAAGAGGGGGGAGAAACACAGGTGTTCATTCATTTTCTCCATCTCTGTCCAAAACCAAGTCTGCCCCAGAGAATGTAATCCAGAAAATCTCAACTTACATGATAATATGTTTTTTCCATATCAAGATTACACAAAACCCTATTAATTTTTCTACAAATCATATCACCAACTGTCTCCGTAACTGCATCCAAGATTTGCCTACACCCCCAATAACCTGACCTAATACTTCAGCCATTCTCCTAGCCAATACCTTTGCCAACAACTTGTAAATGCAACCCATAAGACTAATAGGTCTAAACTTCCTAATGTTCTTGGCTCATTCAACCTTTGTAATGAGAACAATAAAGGTGAAATTCACTGATTTTTACATAAGTCTCTGCCTTGTGGAATTCTTTAAAGAAATCCACCACATCCTCTTCACAACTAACCAGAAATCTTGAAGGAATTCCATGTTAAAACCATCGGGTCCCGGGGCTTTATTGCTGTTACACTCCTTCAAACCTTCTAAAATCTCGTCTTTAGAAAACTCCCTCTCTATATCAATCCTGTTGGTTTCGTCAAGCTCTTGAAACTGAATCCCATTCAGCTTGGGTGATCTGCTGAATTCTTCTTCATACAACTTCTGATAAAACGTTTTGGCTCCTTCCTTGAGAATTTCATTATCTTGTATGCCCTTCTCATCAATAACTAATTCTTTCACATTACTATGTCTTCTTCTGTAGCTAACCAGACAGCGAAAAAATTTTGTATTTCTATCACCTTCTTTAATTCATTTCTTTCTGACCTTCTGTCTCCAGGACACCTCTTCCCACTAAAGCATATTGGCAATCTCAACCCTCAACCCGTGCAACCTCTCTCTGTCGCACTGAGTCAATCCGTTCTCACCTTCCAATTTATCTAGAGTCTCGAGTTTCTGCAAAAGAACATTCGTTTTCTGCTCTTCCACCTTGCTTTCCAACTCTGTCCACTTCTTTTTTTGGGTCTTCAAGATTTTTAACTCAGTCGCTACCTTGAAGCTGGCACTTCCTTGCACTTCAGTGTTTCCCAAACCCGTCTCACCATGTTTCTGTAGCTACTCACTTTCAACCACTTATTATCCAATTGGAACAACATCGGACCCCACTGGATACCTTCAGACACAATGCAAATAGGGAAATGACCTGGTATGATTCTAGGCAGGACTTTATGGTATAATCCTGCAAGATGAAATAAAATGTCAGAAGAAACAAGAAACTGATCTATCCTCTAGCAAGTAGGAGTGCTCATTTGGTTGCTCCGTGTCCATCTCCCACCCATCACTGGCAAGTCAACCAAATCCAACTGATCCAGGACTTCTTTGAATTCCTCTGTCCCAACGCTTGAAAAAGACTCTC